ATTCTGCTTATGTCTTAGTTTGTTCTACAAAAAAGAAGAAAAAAAAAACAGCATTGAAGTTACTGCAACAACTGCAGCATAGTGCTGTTTATGAAGGCTACTGCTAGCAGCAGCAAACTCTTTGAATTCTTTGTCATGTCTTGTCCTCAAATGTTGAATCAAATTGCTGCTGTTAAARCATCCAACTTTCGCTCCTCCTCTTGACAGTTTAGCAGAGCACAGCAGACAGTCTGCTTGTTTGTTTCCTCCGTGCTGCTCTTAAAATATCTTCAAACTGCCGACGTTACTTCTTCTTCTTCTCATCGTTCTCCTTCTGTTATTCGGGGGTGCGGTCGGAAATAACTTGTCAGTGCGTTAGGGCCACCGCCTGGTTTGGATTGTTGTTTACCCTTTGTGCTGCAGCGCAGCACAGGAGGAACAAAAGCGGTATCGGTTAAGAGTATCAGCCGGCTATTACGAGTACGAGTACGAGTACTTGATGCTGGACACCCCTACTCAAAACCCGAACAAATTTGATTTTATCTGCACGTTTTGGCCCAATTGAATATCAGACTTCAAAGAATTGTACTTGTAAATATGATTCGTACTTGTAATGTGGCAAAGTTGTAACAAATTCATGTATGTTTATAGACTTACATGTACAAATTTAGACTCTTACACATACAATGATTCTTTTTTTTTATTTTTATTTTTTTTTTTGATTTTGATTTCACATACAATGATTCTGACAGTTCTCTTACCCGATAAGGATCACAATAAAATCCTGGAAATGATCATTCCCATTTAGGAGCCAAAGATGACAACATCCTCAGGGAGTGAAAGGTGGAGCCGGTATCGTTCTGCTGCTCTGTTTGCTGTTAACTTCACACACACTGGTGACTTGCCAAGCTTGAATCATCTCCCTTTAGGCTGAAGAGATAAAGAATGTGGACGGGTCTAGAGCTGCAGATTTATTCCACTTTTTTCTAAAGAAATGTTGAAGAGTGCAGCAACTGTGTAGAAACTACAAGAGGTCAGAGCAATTCTTGAAAGATTATGGCACAAGGTTATGACCATAAATGTTGTTGTTTTTATTATTATTATTATTATTATTAGAAGACAGCATCATCATTACAAATATTTTATAGTGAAATCTCTCAGAATAATAAAGCTTAAGATGTGATTGTGTAAGAACCATTAAAGATATCAAAAAGCCAGTTCAGTCATGTTCAATCTAATTGTAATCTGTTTAAACTCTGAATGATGTTTTTATTTTAATTTATATATCTGAGCTGTAGCGTTCCAGACAGGGCCGAGTTTTCTCATGTGTGGCTAAACAACATTGTCTGTGGGACCATTTTTTACAAATATGCTTTCAAATTTCTTATATCACTATTCTAAACCAAACTAAGCGATAGCATGTGAATCTGACTGAGATGTTGGGGGTGGAGGTATTTTTAAATGTCATATTTTAATTCCTTTCCATAAATGTTCTTATGAACTTGTTTTATGAATTTTTTTATTAGATTTTTAGAGTTGTGCTTGATGTGGTGTTTTGTATATTACATGTCTAATGAGCCAAAGACAAATTTCCACTACGGTGGACATTAAAGTTCTATTCTATTCTATTCTATTCTATTCTATTCTATTCTATTCTATTCTATTCTATTCTATTCTATATAGGCAGCACGACAGCTCAGTGGTTAGCACCGACGCCCCACAGCAAGAAGGTCCTGGGTTCGATCCCTGGTTCGGACCTGGGGTCTTTCTGTGTGGAGTTTACATGTTCTCGTGCTTGTGTGGGTTTTCTCCGGGTACTCGGGTTTCCCCCACCCCGCAAAAAACATGTGCAATAGGTTGCCTTCAGGCCCAGGCCGCACCTGAAAAAGAGATCTGAGATCTCAATGGGACTTGCCTGGTTAAATAATGGAAAATAAATAAATAAATAAAAATGTGCTGAATAGCTAACAAAAATTCCTGATTGAACCATGGATTTTAATGAGTTTGGTTTATGATTTTCTGAAGGTGCAATAGGAGCAGCGTAATGAAAGTTGTTACATAATATTACTAATGAGAAAAAGAAGCAACTTGCTGAACAGTAATTTACTAACATATCATGTGAGTTGATTTCCCTTGTTATTAACACCTGGTCTTTCAGGAATGCTCAAACTGAATACAGTAAACGTATCACAAATTAAAATAATGAGAAATACAACTTAAGTTAAAAACCTTTGTAACTTGATCATAAAATATTGTGTTTTTTTGTTGTTGCTGTGAGTTTGTTCTGGTTTTACTTCATTTTTCAGAAATCTAAAATGAGAACCTAATGACCGATCTTCCTTCCTTCCTCTTCCCATTAATCCTAACCTCCTCTCATACTTTTCCTCCCAGGTTTGTTTTTTGAGGTGCTCTTTGGTTACGTGACGGCCTTTGCACCCAGCTACGAGGTTTTTGCTGCGTCTCGTCTTCTGGTGGGGCTGATGAACGGCGGCATCGGCCTCGTCTGCTTTGTCCTCACTCAGGAGTACGTGGGAAAGTCCTACTGGGCCATGACAGGTGTGGAAAATGCAGCTTTGGATGCAAATGTGATAGTTTTAATTTAAATCCAGTTTCTTCTCTTCAGGAACGTTGACCAGCATCATTTTTGCCGTCGGCATCGTGGTGTTCGGAGCTCTGGGATACTTCATCAGACCTTGGAGGACTCTGGCCACAGTGGCCAACTCTTCAGGTGTCCTGATCTTCCTGCTGTCTATGTGAGTCCAAACATCCAGATAAATTCAAGACAAAGGTAAAGCAAAAGGGCTAATTTGTGCTGACTCCTTAAATTTGAAGAGTTAATGTTAAAAAATTAAATGGATTGAAAAATGTGATTATGTTCCTAAATACAGCGGGTAAAATAAGTATTGAACACGTCACCATTTTTCTCAGTAAATATATTACTAGAGCTGCTAATGACATGAAGTTTTCACCAGATGTTGGTAACAACCCAAGTGATCCATACATACAAAGAAATCAAACCATAAATGTCCAGAAATGAAGTTATTTGTAATAATGTGGAATGAGAAACTAAAGCTGCTGGAATGGCCCAGCCAATCACCTGACCTGAATCCAACAGAAAATCTATGGAAAGAACTAAAG